AATAATTGACGCTGAAAATGAAATTAAGGCGTTGATTTTCAAGTTTCTCGTTCGCCTGCTAATGGGTAACGACATTCCGTGGGAGCCATATGCACGTATTCAAATCTCCGCCCTGGCCCCGCAAACTGAAAACAACAGCCAAGTACACTTGTTCCAATGGTTGATCAATAACTATTGGTCTCTCCCAGCCCCCCCTCGCATTCGGCACAACAATTCGCCCACAGATACCACCAAATGGGACCTCAGGACCGATCCCCTATGGATTTCGTTTTTGAAGCTCTGGAGAGAACGGGGCCCATCTCAGAAACCGACACCTCTGAAATGGGAGGAGACATGGAGACAGCCGCTGTTCGGCAACCGGTATATCAAGGACGGCAATGGTAACCCCTTCTCCCTGCACAACCATTCTCGGTGGCTCCCCTGGGCAAAGAAGGGAATGTACTCAGTCAGGGACTTGTGGAACAACCAAACTAAGTCATGGTACACAGCACAGGAGCTCCGTCCTAGGTTGGCCCGCGTTAGAAACATTGAGGAAGGCCTGCATGAACTGCAAGAGGCTATCCCGCTGGCCTGGATCTCTGTGTTGTTGAAAGGTCCAACGCTGATGCAAGGGGATTGGGTTACGAAGATTCAGGACTGGCCGCTCCCGATGGCTATCTATTTAGTGGAGAGAATGGATGCCCGACAGGTGGGGCTTCAAGCCTATACAATGCGCCTGCCGCAGTGAGGCTGCCGGGGCAAAGATGGTCGCAACTAACCTGGGACGAAGAGTTGGACCACGATGCACCCCCCGAAGGGCTGACGAGGGTGTGCGTTGTGGATGAACTGGGTAATGGCTGGGCCGTGTATGAACCTATCACCCCAGTCAGCCAACTGCCCTTCGACCCGCGGGAATGGGAGTGGGGCATGGGAGGGGGAAGAAAACTCTAGATATGGCAGTATACGGTCAAAAATGGGTTCAGGAAGGCCAGAAAGCAAATGCAGGTCTTCAAGTTCGCCCCGATCAAGGCAAGATGAGCCCGAGACTCTCCACTCAAAGCGGAGGAGTTCCACAACCTCAACTGGGGAACTCTCTCGCACATACGACCGACTAACCTCAGAGCCCTCCAGTGGCAAATTGTCCACCATTGCTTGCCAACTCCGGAGTGGATTACTTCAAGAACAAATCTTGAAGAACGAGGGGTGCTTTCCCCTCTTTGCTCTTTCTGTGGGAAATCCTCCCCCAAACGACAAGCTACACTCGAACACTGTCTCCTAGACTGCCCCATGGTAGCCCAACTGTGGAATTGGTGGGATGCTGCGTGGCATTATCTCACTGGCACTCGATTGCCATGGGAAATCAAGGCCATCCTCCTGGGAGATATGCCCCCACAGACAACTGAGTGGTCTCCCTTCATGACCAATCTATTTAAAATCACCCGCTTGCCAATGCTGATGGCAGCATGGAGGATGAGGTGTGCCCATCAATATAAACAGCACACATTTGGCTATATGGAGGCAAGAGTTGTGGTGGTCGAAGCGATTGTTATAAACACGCATGCAACATGGAAGGAACTTAAACAAATGCTGGCAAAAGAACCGGAAGAAACCAAACGCCATGACCTTGTCACAAATTTCCGGGCAGTATGGGTGGRYARTGCACAGAAACTCTGCGAACTRGACCGCCACAACRACCTGAAGTGGAAACCCTGGTTGTCCACGGAGATCCAATGGCAACGACTACCACGGGACCATTTCACTTTCCCCTTCCAACCGACCAACTTTATTCTGGTCTAGTATGCCCCCGGAGTGGCGGTCTCCACTACATCATCGATGTCCTTGCTCCCTCCACTCCCCCTACCCCCCTCCCTTCCTCCTCCCCTCGCTCCCCCCCCCCCTATTTGCTTCTTCCTATGTCCTCGAGCTGTGTGCCGGCCAAGCATGGAACCCTGATCCAGGAAAGGTCGAACTTGTCTATGGGCCGGGAGGAACAACTGCAGGGACAAATCATCAGACGTGAATGTGCCCATCGATGACCGCCACACAGTCTGGGGTACAGCCTGGGTTTCAAATCATTCAATAGTCCGTCGGGCATAGATCATCAGACGGGAAGAGCCCAGCGACGACCGCCAAACAATCTGGGGTACAGCCTGGGATTCAAATCATTCAAAGGTCCGTCGGGCTAATACGTGGATGGACCGGGTCAAACAGCACAATGGCACTGAAGACGGCAACAGGTCAGAATAGGGTACAAAGGAGAGAGGAGAACCAAGAATGTAGGAGTGGAATTGGGGGACGATAAGTTGAATACTGTACAGGATCGAGTTTAGGGGTCAAGCCTGACTGTTTATAATTCACTGATAAACACAACATGTGATGGGTGACTGCAGAGTTGCTACAGGATACAACAGGGTGATAGGCTCTGTGTTTATAAACATGAGGGACGTGGGAAATAAATGGGACACAGAATAGGGTTTAGGGGATAAGACTGGTTGATGCTAATTAACAGCTAAATACATTATGCGATGGGAAACAGCAGGGTGCTTCTAGGTACAACAGGGTGACAACAACTGGGTTTATAAATACGAGGGACATGAGAACAAATGGGATGGGTGGTGGTAAGGATGGGATGGGCGATAAGGATCATGGGCTTAGGAAAGGGTTTGCGGGTTTAGGACGGTGGACTTAAGATATCAGACAACACAACATGCAAACCAGGTACTACAGGATACAGCAGGGTCACAGGCTTTGGACGTACAAGTATGGACGATATGATGTACAAATGGGACGCTGGGCCCGGTTCTCAGCAGGTGCAGCTCCCCACCAGTAGATGGAGCCTTCCCATGCAGGGCCCTGCTTAGCGTGGATGCTCTTACCAACTCGCTAAGCAGGTTCCCTTGGCTTGAAGTTTAAAAAAAAAAAAAAAAAAGTAAACGCTCTCTGGTGTCTCTGTGCAGAGGTGCGGAGTTTTGAACCCACAAACTTAAACCATAATGTGCATTGACAACGGGTGCTGTAAGCACTGAGCCGAAGGCCACTTGCTAATAGATTTAGACTTCTTTCTTTACTGGGACTAATAGAGGTAGAGGTTTTGTTTTCTTATATACATAAAAGACACTCCTCTAGACTTCAATAATTATTACTATGGGGGTTGGTCTAGCTGAGACTTTGGGCCTTGCTCTACTACTCAACATTCAACATGTATTGAGGCGGATAGACAGCTTCAATAGAACATAGCAGATGCTAAGCAGCGCAGTTCTGGTGCATACAATGCACATAGTTTACTTAGGCTTGCAGGGCTTGTCGGCTTCAGCTATCAGTAATGACCTTAGCAGGCTGTGACACACAAGAGACAAATATGATGTACTTTCCAAATAGGGGACGCTGGACCCGGTTTCCGGCAAAGTGGCGCTCCCCACTAATAGATTGGAGCCATCAAACAGTGGGGACTCCATCCCCCGGAGGACGCTCGTATCACCTCCCGGGGATGAGACCCAAATGATGTTCTGGTGTCCACAAAAAAAAAAAAAAAAAAAAACTTCAACATGTATTATGGAAGCTGGGGGGGGGGGGGGGGGAATACAACTGGCATGTCCGAAAAATGGAGAAAAAAAGAAAGAAAAGAAAAAAGGGGGATACTACGTGTGTAGCGGACCCACCAGGTGTGGTGCTCCGCTAGTGACAGAGATGCAGATGGAGGAAGGAGGGAGCAAGGTGCACAGCGCAGCTCCCCACGCAAGACTCCAACGCACGTACTCCAAAATGTGCAAGTGAAGAATGCTCGAAAACAAACAAAGGCTGGGGTATACCCCAGCGGACTGACGGGACTGGACTGGACTGGCTGGTACCGACAGAGGTACCGGCCTGGACTGGACTGCCCCGAATAAAACACAGGCCTGTRAGAACAGGCCAAGGGGCTGGTCTCACAGGCCCACCGGAGGTCCGCTACACGATCCTCGGCCTGTGATGGATCGCCTAGATACAAGCACGCTTCCGCCAAAAAGCGGAACTCTACCAAAGAAAAGAAACCTGAGTAGTCTAGGATGCRGAGMAAGCTCCATGCKGAGYCCATGCGATGCAACCTAGGATATAAAATGTCACAAAACAACAATGTCACAGCTAACAGCCTAAGTAAAAGCAAAAACAACTAACTAGCATACATGTCCTAGGAAAGCAAAAACAACTAACTAGCATACATGTCCTAGGAAAGCAGAAAGTAGTGACAACTAGATCCTAGAATATTGGAGGCAGTAGCCTCAGTCTGGGAACAGCTGACTAGTGTATAAGTCCTTAGAACAGCAAAAGCAGAACAACTAAATCCTAGAAATGTCAGAGGCAGTAGCCTCAGTCTGAGAGCAAAAAGCAACAACAAGTCAATCATATGTCACATGACGAGTGTGTCGCAAACCAAAGGGTGGGATGGTCTCTGAGGGTGGCGAATGCAGCCTAGAGGTCGAAAACTCCTAGGGCATCCACACATAGATAACAGGGAGACACATGTCATCAGGCTCAATGAGGGTAGGGAACTGAGAGCAAACAGAACCAATGACCCTAACAGATAGACCATCAGGGCGGGTAATGCTCGACTAAGGGGTGACCGCTATGGAGGGTCGACAATGGGAATAAGGGAGCCTGGTCTGCTGGGCGCACCTAGATGAAGCATGCGGGGCTGCCTAACTAGGGCGTAAGGGCCGGCGAAGGGTAGAAAGATGATGGGTAAGGGAATCATGCAAATGACTCCTAAAGTGAGGGAAGTCGGAGCTAGATCCGTAAGATGGGAAGCCAGGGCAATGCTACGGTCTCGATGCCTATGCGTATACCAAGGGAGAGCCCAACTCAGAGGAACCCGGCTAAAGGGAGACCTTCATGCGACACAAGCAGGGTACTGTACAGGGTAGAGTGGTAAGAGAGTGGCGACGTCTGCAGTAGGCAGAGCTGATCGTGATGAAGTCCATGCAGCTGCCGATGACGTCCACGATGAGAAGTCCGGAATGCCGTCGAGAAAAAACCGCAGCGTCGACGAGCTGAAGTAGCAAAACTGATGTGGATGGAGTGCTGAGAAGTCAAAGACGTGGGAAGGTAAGTCAATCATCATATCGAGCAGGACGACGACGAGTGCGCTGTGGACGCTCAGAAGCATCCGGCTGCTGCTGAAGGTCTGCCTCAGATGGAGCAGGCTCGACTTCAGCGGTCTCCTCAGCCGGAGGAGAAGGAGGAGGGTAAGTGGGCTGAGGAGGAGCAGTGAACCCAGCACGACGAGCACGGTTATAGACACGCACCAACATGCGAGCGTGCTGCAAGTGCTCGAGGGGCTCCCAGGTAGCCTCCTCATCAGGGTAAGCCTTCCAACGTACGAGATACTCGACGTGGGGACGGTTGTCGTCGGTGACTCGGCGACCAATGATGTCTGAAACGAGGAACTCCTCGTGACCGTCCACCATGATGGGTGGAGGGTGCTCGTATGGTCGTCCAGCGAAACGCTCAGACGGTCTGCGATAAGGACACAGTAACGAGACGTGGTAGACATCATGCACATGAGTCTGGCGTAGGTAGTTGGGCAACTTCACACGAAAGCTGACCGGGCTAGATGCCGTATCAGAACCGACGGCCTGGAGGATGCGGCATGGGCCAAAGAAGCGACGTCGAAACCTGCGAAGCGTGTCCGCTTCGAGCTGTAAGTGGCGGGCATCGATAAGCACATCATCACCGACTTTGAATGGATGATCCATTCTCGATCGGTTCGCACGTGCTGTCAGGCGAGTCTGGGAAACGGCTATGTGCTCATGTGCGGTCGTCATAATCGACGTCACGTGTGCCACCCAATCATCCAGCGCGGGACAACTCGTGTCAGGGTGCATCTGGGACGGTCCAAGGAAATCCGCGGGAACACGAGGGTGATAGCCGAGGTCGCAATAATAAGGCGACATCCCCGTGGCTGGCGAGACGGCGTGGTTGTAGGCTATCTCTGCGTGGGCAAGATGAAGATCCCACTGCTGGTCGTCACGAACAATCTTTCGAAGAATATCTCCGAGAGTCCTGTTCGTGATCTCGGTCTGACCATCAGTCTGAGGATGGTAAGACGAGGAGAAGCGGAGCTGAGTGCCGTATACCTCGTGGAGCCGTCGCCAGAATCGGCTGGTAAAGCACGGGTCACGGTCAGATATGATGCTCAGAGGTAAGCCGTGGTCACGCACGACTTGGTCGAACAGGATGTCGGCGACCTCACGTGCACTGATGGCATAGCGGCACGGAACAAAGCGTGCACGCTTCGTGAAGCGGTCGACGACGACCAGGATAGCATCATGACCGCGAGGGGTCGGAGGACGAAGAGGACCGATAAAGTCCATCGAGATAGACTGCCAACGACCCTCAGGGATAGGAAGAGGCTGGAGCAAACCATAAGGCAAGTGGTTCGCACTGTTCACCTCCTGACAGGTCGGACACTCTGCGACGTAGTCCTTCACAAAGTTCTTGCGCTTCGGCCAGACGTACAGGCGGCTCACACGAGCCAACG